GTCATTCGTTGGTATACTCTGATGAACATATGTGAGGATGATAGCAAGGGCCACTTATATAAGGTAGGGTTACAGGAGCAGTTGAAATTTTCGCCCAATGTTTCTTAAAGAAAGCCATAAACGTAGCGACCGTTGGTTCAACTTGGTGTTGTTTTGCTCTAGATTGCGCCGTTTGTGGGCCTGTGGAATGAATTTAGGGAAAATTTTCCAACACGGATCCACTCTTTGGAAAAAACAAAATATTAGGGAGTATATAGTTTTTAAGTAATTTGCATTTAAAGTTGCGAAAAATACCGAATTCAACCTCACTTTTTCCCTTGTACACCAACTGAACTGAAATGTCGGTGCTGCCATCCATACTAAAAAATGCAAGAAAAACACAAACCGGAAACAATGAAAAAATGCACATACGCCGCAGGCGAAAATTTTTAATAAAAAATCGCGCGATTTTTTATAAAAAATTTTTATAATTTATCGAAGTATCGATTTTATAATAAAAAGCGCTGCGGTAGAACATTTTTCATAAAAAATCGCGCGATTTTTAACTAAAAATTTTAATTATTTATCGAAGTATCGATTTTATAATAAAAAGCGCTGCGGTAGAACATTTTTCATAAAAAATCGCGCGATTTTTAACTAAAAATTTTAATTATTTATCGAAGTATCGATTTTATAATAAAAAGCGCCACAGGCGAAAATTTTTAATAAAAAATTGCGCGATTTTTAATTAAAAATTTTTATTATTTATTGAAGTGTCGATTTTATAAAAAAAAGCGCCGCGGTCGAAAATTTTTCATAAAAAATAGCGAGATTTTTAATTAAAAATTTTCATTATTTATCGAAGTATCGATTTTATAATAAAAAGTGCCGCAGGCGAAAATTTTTAATAAAAAATCGCGCGCGACTGAAATGTTGGTGCTGCCATTCATACTAAAAAATGCAAAAAAAACAAACCGGAAACAATGAAAAAATGCACATACGCCGCAGGCGAACATTTTTAATAATTAATAATATCGATGCTTCGATAAATAATGAAAATTTTTAATTAAAAATCGCGCGATTTTTTATGAAAAATTTTCGACCGCGGCGCTTTTTATTATAAAATCTACACTTCAATAAATAATAAAAATTTTTAATTTAAAATCGCGCGATTTTTTATGAAAAATTTTCGACCGCGGCGCTTTTTATTATAAAATCTACACTTCAATAAATAATAAAAATTTTTAATTTAAAATCGCGCGATTTTTTATTAAACATTTTCGCCTGCGGCGTATGTGCATTTTTTCATTGTTTCCCGTTTTTTTTTTTTTTTGCATTTTTTAGTATGAATGGCAGCACCGACATTTCAGTCGCGCGCGATTTTTTATTAAAAATTTTCGCCTGCGGCGCTTTTTATTATAAAATCGATGCTTCGATAAATAATGAAAATTTTTAATTAAAAAACGCGCGATTTTTTATGAAAAGTTTTCGACCGCGGCGCTTTTTATTATAAAATAGACACTTCAATAAATAATAAAAAATTTTAATTAAAAATCGCGCGATTTTTTATTAAAAATTTTCGTCTTCGGCGCTTTTTATTATAAAATCGATACTTCGATAAATAATGAAAATTTTTAGTTAAAAATCGCGCGATTTTTTATTAAAAATTTTCGTCTTCGGCGCTTTTTATTATAAAATCGATACTTCGATAAATTATGAAAATTTCTTTATTAAAAATCGCGCGATTTTTATTAAAAATTTTCGCCTGCGGCGTATGTGCATTTTTTCATTGTTTCCGGTTTTGTTTTTTTTTTGCATTTTTTAGTATGAATGGCAGCACCGACATTTCAGTTCAGTTGGTGTGCAAGGGAAAAAGTGAGGTTGAATTCGGTATTTTTTGCAACTTTAAATGCAAATTATTTAAAAACTATAAGCCTCCGGAGGGTGGGGTCTTTAGATTTAGAATCTGAAAAAGCTCCTCTATACTCCCTAACATTTTGTTTTTTCCAAAGCGTGGATCCGTTTTGGAAAATTTTCCCTAAATTCATTCCACAGGCCCACAAACGGTGCATTCTAGAGCAAAACAACACCAAGTTGAACCAACGGTCGCTACGTTTATGGCTTTCTTTAAGAAACATCGGGCGAAAATTTCAACTGCTCCTGTAACTTTACCTTATTAGTCTGTTCCAATAGCAGTCCGGTTACAGGATTTAGTCAGAACTTACAGGAAGTCGTTCCTATTGACATAAAACCTGTAAGTGGGAACACATTTGAGAGAGTAACTGAGCAACTGTTCCTAGTCAGAAGTTACAGGATTTAGTCCGGAGTTTTTTTTCCTGTAAGTTCATGAAAAGTGTCAAACGATCAGCTGATTTACATGTGCAAACAAAAACAGAAAGCGGTGAAAGCAAAGAACCTTATATTTGGTTAAAATAGGAAGTAAACAACGAAATATTTGAATATGTATAGATTTTATATAATTATTTAGTGATATTTCAGCCAAATCAGTGTAGTACCAATGACATGTAAACAAACCGTCTGACGTTTTTACAGGAAATAGTGCTTTTTGCGTTCCTATGCACTTCTGCATCTGTTCTCCTTTTACTCTCATTTGAGAGCGTAAAATTGTAGTTTGACAGTTCCACAGGTTTTAGTCCGAAGTTCAAACGAACAGACTAATTGCTGTCCATAAGTATACATACACATGCCCATCAGTACCCTGCAAAAAATGGGACTAATCCGGGATGACTCCGGGAGCAATCGCAAAGGAGCATGCGACTAATACCACTTTTGATCTCTTTATATGGAATGAACTGATCGCTTTTGTTCGAGCATGTCCTATGAAGAGACTAATTGTTCACCTTTATACCCGAAAGGGTATAAAAAGCGACTAATCACTTTTAAAAAATAAAAATAAAAATAAAAATTTGCGCCAGCTGAGATTCGAACCGGGTTGCTCAGTTTTGTTAGGCGAATACTCTCTGTGTATGCCAACGCCGCACATGAAATTTCATTGACTAAGTGCGTACATATCATTAAATCGTTAATAGTACCCGTTAGAGATGAGTTGGGGACCAATTGATCTCCAATTATACCCATAAGGGATGAGTCGAGACTAATTGAGCTCCATTAGTACCCGTATTAGACTAGTTGGGACTAATTAATGCCCAATTGTACCCGATTGAGAGTAATCTCGGAATACTCTCTTTAGAGATTAGTCGCACAATTTTTTGCAGGGTATATCAACGAAGCCCGTTTGCTTCATCATAACTATATCCATACAAACATATGTACATATGTACGAATGGATGTAGTTACGCGAAGCACTCTTGCATCATTTATACATATAGGGTTTGTTCGAGTTGTAATCACAACCGCAGTATTGCGCGAATTATTAAAGTATAGCGTTCTGTAAGAATCATGGATAACTAGATAAGAAACTCTAATTTTTTCTGGTGAGAATTTCTAGCAATGTATTATCAGTTGGGTAGTTGCAACAATGTTGCCATTTTTCATCAGTACGGCAGTAATGCCGCTTTTATTACGTGCCTCGAACAGGCCCATATTGCTTGGTAGCGGCAGAGCTGAAATGCGCAATGAGTTCGTTCATATATACATATATGTGTGTACATATACATACCCAGCGGTTGACAATTGGTATACCTGCTGCAATCAGTTGTGAGATCAGATCTGGTTAGCTCTGAAATCACAGGCGAGAGTTTTTACCTGATTTTAGAATAAGCATTTCCATTTGAGATAGCTTTAAACGTCCCAAAAATTTCCCATGGTATTTATATTTTTTATTTTTTGTACTCACACCTGAGGGAGCGCCTGCTAATAGCAGCAAAGGCGTAATGCCTCCGAACGATTTCGAATGCTTTGAGTTGGAAACGAAAATTTACAAATACAAAATACACCCGAGGAAATGGGAAATTTTACGAACATGAACAACCGTTGAATGACACTTCGTTTGCTTTTTTATTTCAAATTTATTCCAAAAAAGAAGGCACAGGAAAATTGTGTAGTCATTTTAAATATATTAATAAAAACAATAAAATAATTAAACAAAAATAATTACAAAAATATAAATAGAAATATTTCTGCAATAGGTAAGAAAAAACCGATTAAGATTACAAAATAAAAATGGCGAGTGTGAGCAACAGGCTTCTCAAGCGCCTTATAAGAAAAGAACGAGACGCTGCTTGGGCGAAAATAAATAGCAGCAGCAATGAACATGCTAAAACAAAGGAAGAGACTCCGTTAATTGATTTTAATTCATTAAGACCAGACAGTGTAAAAACAATAGCCATACAAAATTATTCTCGAAGAAGACAAAGTACTGACTTAAAAACCATACTAGCTCAGTGGTACAAAGAAACGAAACCCACGAGAAGCTGTGCGGAAAATCTTTTGATAAAACTGAACGAGGAAAACTTTTCCGTTCCTCGAAGTGTTGGAAGCCTGATGAAATCGAAAATCCACAAATTATTGACGCGTGGTGTGAAAAATCAGTTAGAGATAATTGAGTCCTTGCAGGACCAAGAGGTGATTCTAATAGACATTGGTGTCGATGGTTTATCATTGTTCAAAAGTTGTTCCACTGCTTTATGGCCTATCATGGGCAAAGTAGTGAATACACCAAATGTTAAAGTTTTTATAATTGGAGCATATGTAGGACCAGGAAAGCCGAATAATATAGATAGTTTTTTGCACGATTTTGTTAATGAAGTTAAGAAACTTAAAGTTGATGGTCTGGTTATACAAGAAAAAATTCTTAAGTTTCACATACGTTGCTTTATTGCTGATGCTCCAGCTCGATCATTCCTTACTGGTACTGTTGGTCACAATTCTTTCAACGGGTGCACCAAATGTTTACAAGTTGGTCAAAGAATAGATTTCACTACGGTTTTTAGCAACTCATCTGGAATTTTAAGGACAGACGAAAGTGATGTAATGTGGAACGATTTTCCGTCATCCCTTGTCAAACCAAATTTGACAAGGGATGACGGAAAATCGTTCCACATTACATCACACTCCTACCCTGTCGGAAATACCAACCACAAAAATGAGACGGACGAAAGCTTTGAAAATAGAGCGCACATAAATCATCACCAAGCATATTTCAGAACAGTGAAGACTTCACTAGAAGCTTTAGGTATTAGGATGGTATCGCAGTTTCCATTGGACCCGATGCATCTGATTGATTTAGGCGTTGCACGCAAAATGATTCAATATATTATTGAAGGCAAAACTGTAACAAAGCTGTCGAAAGCAAAAAGAGATGAGATGTTTGGGCGGCAATTGTCACTGGTTGGTTATATACCACGTGAGTTCTCATGAAAACCAAGAAGCTTCGTTGATGTGAACAGATTTAAGGCAACTGAATTTAGATTATTTATTCTATATACTGGAGTTGTTATTTTGAAAGATATCCTGGATGACGATTTTTATTATCACTTACTTATTTTTTGTGCTTACATGCTAATTTCGTGCCCAAAAAACTTCAAGTCGCATTTAAATATTGCCAATCAAATGTTTTCAGACTTTGTATGCTGTTTTTCTAACTTTTATGAGAAAAAGAGTGTTACTTACAATGTGCATAATCTTTTACACTTAACGCACTGTGTAAACTCCTTTGGCGCCATAAATTAATTTTCAGCTTATCCTTTCGAAAACGGTCTTCAAGATATTAAAAAAAATATTAGAAGTCCCACAAATATTCTTAAGCAGCTCTATAACCAGTATAATAACGATAATATCATGAGTCCCCCGAAGAAGCCGGTATTTAGATATTGTAGAAATGAAATACTGAATTGCATGTTAAATGAGATGTTTTTAAGTACAACAGAACCTGACAATATTTGTTGCCTCAAATCTAAAAAAGTTTTCAAAATCACAAAATTTTTAGACGAAAATAGCATCTTAGGTAGAGAATACAACAAATTCAATAACCTTTTTGAATTGCCTATAACTTCAGCCGAAATAGGAGTATACCTTTGCGATAACAGAGAAACAGATGGTGATCATATTTTCTCACTCAGTGAGATATTTTGCAAATTTGTGTGCTTACCGTACCAGGACAAGTACGTTTTTATTCCAATTTTACATCAGATTAAGTAGTAGGTTCCAATCCTTACTTATATCATAAATTAAAAAATCACAAAAATAAAAACATTTTATAAATAATAAAGTAATAATTTAACATAAATTTTAAAAGCAAAATACATAAATAAACAAATTCAACGCAATATACGAAATGCTTCAACAAAAACTTTACTCATCAAACACATCTGATGACGGCGCAGACGAAAACAGTGGCGAAAAATGTAAGAGAAACGAATTACGCTTACTGTAGTATCTGTTAGCGCTTTTATTCGTAAACTTCACTCAGTTGTTTTAAGCTTTTTCTAAGGATTTAATTTTTTATATACTTACATATAGTTCTACCTATGGAGGTTGTGATGGCTGAGCTGCAGAACATGGGAAAATGGCTGGACCGCATCGAAAAAATGGAAGGACAAATTGTCGACATGATAGCAAAACGAACCGCACTTTTACAATCGATTTTTAAATGAAATAATGTGAAGTCTGAAGTCCAATTAGTTTCCAATTTTAAACAAGGAAGACCTTGATAAATTAGAAAAGGATATCAATGAAAACTACAGCGAGATCGTAAGTTTATCGTTGGGTCCTGCAATTTACCCCGACTAAAAATATTTTTTCTGTTAATAGAATTCAATCGTAAGAACCATCCTTGGAAAGTTACCAATAACAAAAAAACTGCACTGTTTTTTTGGAGAAGATTTGATAATGTCGATGAATTATGACGGAACGCAGGGCATGCATGCTTTCAAATCATTCAAAAACATCAATAAAATTCTATTTGGTAAGTCACAATGCATTTTAAGTAGATATAGCTTCCTGGGCTCGAAAATAATATTTTTTTTATTATTGCCCTTATAACACTTTCAATATAGTCCTGGATATAGATTTTCCACTTTTGCTTTCAATGAATTAGAATATGTTCAATACATACATATGTATGAATATTATTAACATCACAACTTTTCATTTTGTTTTCCAGAATCTATTTCCGTATATGAAGAAATTACAATTGACGACTACGTGAAGCAAATAAGAGCATCGTTTAAGATTTTAAAAAACAGAATTCATAAAGCTAAGTCTGAGAAAAAAAAGAAAAATATTAATTCAGCTACTGGAGAAAACCCCTCGAATTCTTAACTTTTGACCCTTGTTTTATTTAATTTTTTTTATTCAACTTTGTACTTACAAATATGTTGTTTAGAATTAGAAACAAATCAACCCAGTTGTCGCTAATGAAATACCATAACATTATTTACTTTTCCATTTCAAATTTCTATATTGTTCTTTATAAAACACCGTATGTATTAATACTTTAATTTTATTAAATAAAAATTAAAAAAATAGCCAAATTGTGTCCGACTTGTTGTTTAATTAATAAAGTATCTTATTTGGAGCCAATTTTACTTTTGGATAATCGGGCCTGAGTATTTCGTCCCTAATAGAAGGCCTGAAATTTCCGTACCTATTCAGTATTGTCTGAATTATCGAAGGAATACTCTTTGGGATATTCAGGCCTGGATATTAGCTATACGATGTCAGGGGTTCAGTAAGAATGACATTTTAATGTGAAAAAGGGATCATGAGGTGTGTTAAAAACTCAGGACTTACTATTACCATTCAGGCCTGAGAGAAGGCATTGTTTCAGGCCAGTTTCAACCGCTGGGTTATTTCATATACGAATATGCCCCAATAGTTTTGGAGCCAATTAAAATGCATTTCCCCATGCATACGTATGTACATACGTACTTCATTAACTGATAACGTTTTTACATGCATAAATATATATGTATGTATGTGCATATTACTGCCAAAATACTATGCCCATACACACAAATGTACATATTTACAACTCACGGCAGCATACATACATATGCACATAATTACACGCCCTGCAGGGAAACCGCGGACTAGTGAATAAAATTTCTAGTTCCGTACTAGGTCTTTATCGCCAAAAAGGAACTAGTCCGATAGGAAGTAGTCCAAAATCGGCGAAAAGTGGTACTTTTAAGAAACTAATTTTTTCAGTTTTTTTCACTACAAATCTATATCTAAAGTGACGAATTTAGAATTGGTTCGGAACTATAGAAAAAGGGATGCAGAACGAACTAGATCCTATTTGTCGAATTTAGAACTATTTCGGAACTATCGAATAAGGGATGCAGCGAGGGGCTTGTTTACTTTACATAGATATGTGTTCGGCGGCTTTTTCGTTCAAATACGCTTCTATTCTGTGCTTCGCAGATGCTATTTCATACTTTGGTAATACAAAACAAAGCTTTGTGTTAACATATTAACATCTTGGGGCCGTCTGGAATCTAACCAATAACAGCGAGCACCTCTGCAAAGTCAGCTACAGCAA